ATTATAACAGATGGCAAGGTACTCCTCAGTTGTCCGATTACACGTTTGATTCTCATATATCATGCATAGAAAGTAATGAAAACTAATTTTCCTCCAAACTGACGTAACCGCCTTAACCAGTAATACAGATTTCGTCGTATCACCCTGTGTGCTTGCAATAACCTACAGGCAAACTCCTCAACAACCCTCCAAAACGTGTACAACGCCCAAAAATCGAGTTATAACCCCATTAACTTCCCACCATTGCGCGATATGCGTCACACTCCTATCCGCCGATTTCAAAAATTTGACCCACTAAACGATAGATTTGATAATAGTGTTTCAAATTGGGAACTGGGGTGGCAGATCACCCTCTTGTTTTACAGAACCGATGCGCTGACAATAGTGAGAGCACCCCTCTAACCTACATCCAGGGAAGGGTGCGTCCGACCCCGGTAGATTGATTTTTGTTTGCCATAATGATGGAGCGCAGGGAGAATATGGAAATTTTCGCGTGGTTCCATGCGTCCCTTATTAATCCTCATATAATTGCGTTTTTTGTCTGCTTAGTGGAAAAAATAACAGGAGATAATAATCTCGCAACAATATTTCAGGCTGGAGTAATGGCCATACAAGTCTGTGTAAAAGAGCTAATAAGGAATGAGACTGCAAATCTGTCGATCGCCGTCTGAGCAGGCAGTCATAAAGGCAAACATAATCTAAGCTAGTATGGGATTGCGTACTCTCAAAAATCTGGGAAAGAGAAATTACGCTGGGTACCAGGATATGAACAAAGGAAACGGCCTTATAGATCCAGATTCTTTCTGTGGCGTGACGAAAACGCGCACTGAACAGTCCATGTGAAACTGAACCAAGAGAAATTCCCTAGAATGGTGGAACATCCAATTATGGCAGGCACAAGAGTTGTTCAAAGACTGCATTTGCAGACGACCTACTCGGATTTAATAGGAGGGAATGACGGCTATAGTCGAGCTCCTGACTGGGTGTGGCAGAAGAGGCTACATGCGGTTTCTGTAGAGATCATGAGGAAACCCCAATGTATCTTCGGTGTCACTACGTAGGCCTGGCAAGGCTACGGTTTCAGATACTGGGAACCAAAAATCCAACACCGGAAAGCTACATGCAAGGCCCTAGGCTATGGAATCTGATTGGAGGATCAAGGCTGGACACAGTGCTTTAGAAAGTGTACCATAGATCCATTTGGGACGCAATGACGTTAAGGCTAGCAAGTCCAACGCCTTTTCTGTAATCTGTTCCAGGGTTAAACAGAAAAAATGTAATAATTATACGTCTTTATTTATTTACAACAACATTGTAATGCAACTAAGGTAACACTTAAAGGGCGAAATATAGCGTCTGCTACTCATACACTTAACCATAAATGTCATTACCAGATGCTAATAATAATGAGATATTATTCACAAACATTTAAATTTTTAAAAATATATTATTACAATAAAGCGAAAACGAGTATACTAGCCAAAGCAAGATACACAAAAAATAGAAAAGCGAAAAGAATAGTAAAAAAGCATGAGTGTGTAATGAAGGTAGTGAAGTAATTGATGATTTCACTTTTTGTCGAAAAGCTGGTAATGAGTATTGTTTATACAATTTTGAAATTATACTAAGTGACATATAAATCCGAACACCCAGCTTAAATGGTTTTATTTTAATAAAATTTTGTATAAGTACTTAATGAAGTATAATAAGTAAATGATAAAAATTTCAAAATGATTGCACTGTTTTAAAGCCCTTTGACCTTTAATAATGTGTGGATGCACCCTGATGTGCTACGCATTTTCCAACGCGCCTAGGCATGCTTCTGATCAGGTGGTCAATGTCCTCCTGTGGTATCTCATTCCAGGCAACCACCAACTCCTCTCGAAGTGCTTCTAGAGTCTGAGGAGGACGTTGCAAATTGAGCAATCTCCTACCCATCATATCCCACACGTGCTCAATTGGGGATAAGTCGGGAGATCTTGGTGGCCATGGTAACAATGTGACATCATTATGTTGAAAGAAGTCTATTGTGACTCTTGCAACATGTGGTCGGGCATTATCTTGTTGGAAAGTTGGATCTGCCAGGGTGTCAAGATAGGGTAAAAGATGGGGTTCTAGAACTTCGTGGATATAACGCTGCGCGTTCATGTTACCTCTGATGAAGATTAAAGGTGACCTGGAACCATAAGCTATAGCACCCCAAACCATAACTCTAACAGTGTGATGAACATGTCTTTCAACAAAAAACTGTGGATTCCTCCTTTCACCACGTCGCCTTCTAACCCTGGCACGACCATCGTGCATGCCTAAACAAAATCGAGACTCGTCACTAAAGACAATACTGTTCCATTCCTGATCCCAGAGTGACCGTTGTCTGCACCACTCAAGGCGATTACGTCGGTGTTCTCGAGTTAAAGGGAGGACCCAGTGTGGCCGGTATGAAAACAAGCCAAAACTTCTCATTCGTCGGTAAACACTTCGCATGCCAATAGGTCTTCCGTGTTCAACAAACCATTCATTTGCAATGGACCTGGTAGTGGAGAAACGGTCCCTTAAGGCCAATAATCTTAGGCGGCGATCTTCACGGTCTGTTGTTCTACGGCGGCGTCCAGTGCCCCTTGCTTTTTGCGTACGGCCTTCTCGAAGCCATGCCTGACAACACCTAACCACAGTGTCTACACTTCTTTGCACTCTAACTGCAATTGCCGAAAAGAAAGTCCAGCTTCCCGAAGTCCCACTATACGGCCCCTATCAAACTCACTAAGTTGACGAAATCGTACAGGTCTCCGTACTCTAGGCATCGTAACCGATCGTAAAGGATGTCTAGAACCAAAATCCGCCAACGTTGATTCTTTACTGCGGCTGAAATATTCATTTTTAGAGCGTTAGTGAATTAAAAAAAAGCAGTATAAAAACCGGAATGTCCAACTGATAAGGCTGAACATTTTTTCACTTGTTATTTACAGTAAGATTAATACATTCACCAACTTTTATTAAAATAAAACCATTTAAACTGGGTGTTCGGATTTATATGTCACTTAGTATATATATGGTGGAAAAATTGTAGGAGAAACTGCGTTGAAATACTGAGGTATCCTGAAAATTTGATCTCCAAGTGCTCTGGAATGAATATCATTATTAAATGAATTTTTTTTCGCAAGTAAGGCGGTTTAGACGCAAGTAAGAATTTATGCATCGATATTTAACCAAATCATTTATTCTCAACCAGTTGAGTATTGGATATTTTTCTGATACATGATCAAATTTGTAGAGCCCAATAATAAAACGAACACAATTATTATTGTTATTATAATTTGCAACTCGAGGGCTATAATTTTGTCTAAAGCCAGATTGGGTATAAGGGATTATTAAGTATTTTTCAAGATAAGTGGTTACTCGCAATAAATCGCTTTTTAGACAAAATCGGTAGCAAACTGTTAGGTCTTAGGGCGCTGATTTCTGCGGGTTTAAGGTTGTTGGAGATTGATACAATCAAAGCTTGTTTAGCAGATAACTCTATTATGGGTTCCCTCACATAAATCCATATTGGGCAACGAAATGGCGGACAGGGGCGCAAGATCAGCGGCGGACGCCAAAATGCAGACAATACAAAAGATTCCTGTTTCCGATATCAAGACATACTTCCACAACATGGCAATAGAACAGTTTAACAATAAATGGAGAAGCGGATCAGCGAAGCTTCTTGAAGTGAAATCTCGTCTTGGTTCCTGGCAGATCAACACTACAAATAGAAGGCACCAGGTTCTGCTGACCCGTCTTCGTCTGGGACACACCAGGGCCACACATGGTTACCTCATATCGGGAGATCCGGTACCTCTTTGTACAATTTGTGAAGTGTCCCTCACCGTTAAGCACATTTTAGTGGAGTGTCCCATGCTAGAATACCAAAGAGTGTCCTCCAACTTACGATCTAGCTTAATAGACATTATAGGCTCAGAATGTAACATAAACAATCTACTCTTATTTTTACAAGCCACCAACTATGCTCATAAAATTTAGTGTAACACTGTGTACTGCTCCGCCGCTAATGACCATCAGGCCGATGCGGCAATTGTATTTTTTTTTATTGAATAAAAAAAAAATCAAAGCTTGTTTACATGCTGTAGAAAAGTAGTTCTGCTCTAAACAATCATCTATCTGTCTGGTCTTTCGGTTTCTGATTATTTGAGAACTATACGCAATTGAGAAATGTGAAAAAGCGTCTAGACCTACGCCCAAAACGTTTCTACTGGGGCACTGGTCACCAAAAACTCCTCGAGTTGGCTGACAATTTTGACCCGTAACAAATCTGTGTTTTACCTATTCTGAAGCTATCGACCATGAGAATTGAGAGACTTTTATAAATGCGAGATGGCTATTAAATAAATTAATGACATGGTTACAAAACCTTCCGACAAGTTTTCAACACCATCCGCCCAACTGAACGTTAAAACAAGCCTAGTAAAATTCTACCTCCATTACTTTTATTTACTATGGTCAGTTAATCTAGCAATAAATTGATTTAATTGATGAATAAAAGCACCGTTTCCTGTACATTTTTACGAGATCGAGACTCTAAGTAATGGCCATGAAAAATTTTTGATGAAGATTTCATAATGTGAAGCTAATTAGCAATATTAATAGGATCATAGGAAATTTAATGGTGTGTGTTTTCTTGGTAATTTAATTACATTTGTTAAAATGTGTTGTATTTTTGCGCAACCAGCGTGTCAAATGGCAAAAATGATACGAATTTTGCACTTCATTCAGTTAGTTTCAGTAGTTTTATTCACATCTCTTTATACGAAAACGACATTAACGTTTCGGTTACATCTGCGCAGCTCTTGTTTAAACAACAAATAATAATTTTACGAGTATGAGGTGTTGGTTACAGACTCCTAGGCTAATATTTACAGCTTTCGTATTGATCTGACAAAATGTAAACAAATTTTTGAAAAATGTAAAATTTCTGAATTTTTACTTTATTATTTTTGTTGCAGGTATGAACTGAACATACTCAAAAAACCTTCGGAGTCGTGAAACTGTAAGTAACGACGCTTTATCAAGAACGAAAGAGGACTGAGTTGAGGTATCTAGTGAAGAAAATAAAGTACACCTAGTCAAAGTGCAAAAAAACTGACCCTCTGCGTATGTGATGTCTAGTTTTTCAAAGTCATCTAGCTTATATGATTTTTCCCGATATAATGATGTGACGACTTGATAATTTTACTTACCTAATTATTAATCTAGATGGTTTGCAAAGACGCATTAGCCTGATTCGAACGCATTCGACGATAGAGAATGGTTCGACACTATCCTAATTGGCAATTAATTCGATGTTGATTTGATGATGTGGCATTTTGTCGACTTACATACAGGGTGAGTTGTTATTGTGTGACTACGTGGTAACACATACATTTTTTTATTGGAATAACCTGGATATTTTAGTATATTTTGAAAAACCTCTCCAAAATAGCAGGCTCGATATAGCACACTATAGGATTTTGATCGCTATCTCTGGAGCTACGAAATATTTTGTCGGAAAAAAAACCATCTTTGACTGACATTGTAAGTCAGTCACTTTTGCAGACAGAGTAGCAAACTTTCCATGGCTTCTCGTCATTAAACTATTTGTAAATATTCTGCATCTTCAATGCAGTGTATGGTTCACAAACACAGTGTATTTCTTCTTAAAAAATTCTAATGCAATGCAGGTTTAATGACAATTAATTATCATACAATAAAATGTACTATTGAATGCAGTAATTAATACAAATGATTATTGATTTATTTAGTTTACAAAAAACCTTACAAGCTGCCTATCTTGAGAAACAATTTTCGTGAGTTAGCTTTTTTGAAACGTTCACTTATGGTGATTCTGGCACTTTCGCAAGATTTTTTTTTCATTTTGAGTTGTGCATCTTAGGACTTAGGATTATATGATACCAGCAAGACACTTTCAGCCTAGAGCTGCGGTCAAATCACTGACCCAAAGGGTGAAAAGACTTCTTGTTAGAATTTAAAAAACGACAATATTTTCAGAGATTTAAACATTTTCATTTTTTTTTTATATGCACGATTTTCGACATTTTTAAGACTACCTAAATTTTGAAAACATAATTTTCTACACCTCCTTAAACGTCACGGCAGCGTTATCGGTTGTTAGAAATCCAAGGAGATCATTCGTCAAACAATACTCAATCATCAAAGAACGTCAATATACGAGACCCTAAATTTTGTACATTTCTGCAATTATAGTGATGCGGCATGCGGCAGACTTTGGTAATTCATGACTCTGAAATTTTGAAGAAAAACACTCAAGTCTACATCTGTACAAAGCCGTGCATTCGTTAAAAAAGTCAAGAGGAACTTTCAAAACGTGAGGTGCCAATTTTGACGCAATTAGTATATAACAAAATTAGCCATCAATATACAGGGTGTTTCAGTTTATTGTTGCATAACTGTAAGATTCGCTAGAACTTTTAAAATTAATGCATAAAGTCTATATAAACATGGGTCGAAAAATGCGTGGCTTCCGAAATACAGGGTGTTCAAATTTACTTTCTAAAGTAGTTTTTTTAAATATTTCGAACAATATTTGATGTATAACAGTGAAAATTGGTATACAAGGGTTTTTTGGTACGACAAAACGAACCATGGGCATAGTTTTACTGTAGCCGCTAGAGGGCGCTCTCTACTGTACCTGTAGTGTATTAAAATGATCGAAAATTTTTGCTTAGTGCAATTTTTTGCTTTTTGAATATAAAAGCTGATTCCTCGCACTTTTCAACATAAAAAAGCTCTCTTGTGAGTTTTCGTTATAGTTAGCCGTTTTTGAGATATTTCGATTTTTAAGGTTCGATGAATTTTTAATTATTTATGGGAAAATAATATTTTTTTACATTTTCGATTTGGGCATTACAAGTAATTAATATGATCGTTTAGATTGTGTTTTTAAACACAGCAATAATTCCTAACTCCAAATAAACACAAAAAACAGAATATTAATTTGTTTAATTTTCCAATATTATTTTAAACAAATTAAATTAATTATTTACAACTAAAATGCTATCAGATAGTTAGGACAAACATACAAAATCTAAAGTAGTTGCTCGAAATGTAAACCCAATTGCTCAGTACACAATTCACATCTACGGATGATCGAACATTATTCAAATAAGGCCTTATTTCATCACATGCATTCCTGATTCTGTCTATTAGCATATCTCTTGTGGTTACGGGTGTCTGGTACACTTTTTCTTTTAGAAATCTCCACACAAAGAAATCTAATGGAATTAGGTCAGGGGATCGTGGAGGCCAGGCGACTGGACTTTATGCATTAATTTTAAAAGTTCTATCGAATCTTAAAGTTATGCAACAATAAACTGAAACACCCTGTATACCATTTTCGAGTAACAGATAAAAAAGGAAATGTCATCAATTTTTGTTCAAAGATATTTGAAAATAAAGCACTTTTATGAATCCTCCGGGTCCGGTCAATAAAATAATCTAAAAAACTTGTAATTCTAAGTTTTTACGCCAATTAATTTATATGGTCTTAGTAGCTGTATATAATAACCAGATTAAGTGCTTATCAGCAAAATTACAGGAATATATCAAAAAGTTATTTCTCGGTAAACGCAATATAATCATCAAATCAAGTAGACGTGTAAACAAAAACAAAAGAATACACCTATCATCGGTAACTGTACAAGGTATTCTAGATTTTCATGTGATTAACGTCAGCGTTTTGGCGCCACGTCTGTCGAGTACCAGCAATTAATAACTCCTAATACTCGACTCCGTAATTTGTCCTAGTGATCGGATTAATTGGAAAAACAACATCGCAGAGACGGTTTTTAGGTTGTAAATCAAGACGGCTGTCTGGTCACGTCTGCATAACAGATGCCCCGAGGGCGAGATACGGTACTGATATGGGCGACGATGCAGACCGATAGACAGAGACGGATTAAGACGGAGATAGTACAGTACCCAGTATTATTATAACGACAGGTACATCGCTGGAGCTGTTATTATATCAGTTTTCACTATGGGGTCGGCCTCGTTGACAGGCTCCGCCACTCCACAACTACTACTACATCCCAAATCCATATTATTGAACACCCTTTGCAAAACTGGAAGTTTTCTCTTGTTCAACCCATTCCAAAAACGGATCTAAGACCGACACACTTACACCTACAGGCCTATAGCGCTACTTTCTGTTATAAGTAAGGTGATGGCGCGAGCTTCACAACGTCAACGCAGGTGCTCCGCAGGGATCGGTCCGACTACGTTATAGTGATAGTTTATTGTTCTTTCCGACACATACGATGTATAGAACTCAACACAATAAATACATATCATTGCACTTGATGTAGCCCAGAAGCAAAGGCCATATTTCAGCCTGGATTCAATCTGTGCGTATAGACTGATAAGTTGACCTTCATTTAGAACTGTTCGTAAATTTCTATAAATATATGAATCTGAATTTAGAACTGACATCATTTACTTGCAATGTGCTTTGAAATTTAATTAGTCATCTAAATATTTGGTGCCGTCATGGAGCTTGATCTATTTTTCTCCACAGCAGTCTTCTCCGAGTTTAAAAATAATTGATTTATATATATATATATATATATATATATATATATATATATATATATATATATATATATATATATATATATATATAGCTTCCGCCTTTTGTTGGGTACTTCGACAAAATTTAAGCAAAGAGGACTCTTTATACTTTTTTTAATTCTCTCTAGCTTTCAATGGACTTTGCCATCATCATCAGGAGAGTAGTATGTGAGGATGTTGCTAATTGTTGTTTACGTATAGGATGAGGGAAACGTCCAGTAACATGGTGAGAGCTGGATAGATTGTACAGTAGTCAAACTTATATAAAATACGACAAGAACAAGTTAAAAACAGATTAAAAATTATTTAAAAAATTTAAGCATTACATCGTGAAGCCACTTGATGATTGCACAAATTAGTGGTCATGGAATGAAGTGGCTTCACGATGTAATGCTTTAATTTTTAAATAATTTTTAATCTGTTTTTAACTTGTTCTTGTCATATTTTATATAAGTTTGACTACTGTACAATCTATCCAGCTCTCACCATGTTACTGGACGTTTCCCTCATCCTATACGTAAACAACAATTAGCAACATCCTCACATACTACTCTCCTGATGATGATGGCAAAGTCCATTGAAAGCTAGAGAGAATTAAAAAAGTATAAAGAGTCCTCTTTGCTTAAATTTTGTCGAAGTACCCAACAAAAGGCGGAAGCTTTAATTTTTCACCTAACTGGTCTAGACGACAATGACCACGTCTCAAGTTATATATATATATATAAAAATAAAAGAGGTCCTAATATAGATCCTTGGAGAACTGGCATATCAACGCATAAAGACCGGACTTGCTTTATTTCTGTGCCATAATTGTGTAATAAAGAAACATATTGTGACCTGTTTTCCAAAAAAGATTTGATCGATGTATCTTTTCCAACGGACAGTCTCGGGACCCTTTCGCACCAGCGGGCTGTGTACGATCTAGCTCTCTTCTATCGCAACGCCAATGAGCTCTCCTCCATGATGCCGCCGCGTGATGTGCCTGCCAGACAGGCCCGCCTGACTTCGCCCTACCCCCTAACCGTGTTGACTTCGTACATCAAGAACTGGCCAGTACGAGCGCTCCCTTGTCCTTAGGGTATCGAGAATGTGGAACCGTCTACAAGAGGGGGCCTTTCTCATTTCTAATAACCGTTTAGTTTTCGTAAAGTTTCTTTTCATAGCAGTCGCGAAGCCCTGGCATTTAAGCGTCTGCCTGCGCGGCTGCTTCTGGTTAAAAAAAGCTCTTTACAATACACAGGTGTGAATTGAATTACTTCTTGATAATCTAAAACTCTAAAACAATTTATGCAGTCTTTGCAAATGAGCACTTTTAATTAGTTTGCTCAGGTTTGTGCCTTAAATTTGTCGGCCTTCATGGGCAGAACTTTT